CTGTCTTATGACAAAACATTAAAAAATAATTAATTACTTAAAAACAAATAATTTAAAGTTATTGTGTATGTGTTACAATAACCGGAAGTTATATTTTTTTATATTATATATTTTTTTATATATATTATCTGTAAGATAACGAAGAAATTATTCAAAACTGATCTACGTTTACTCTAGAACCCAATTAAATTGGTGCCGCAGATTGTCGCTCATGCATCATTCACGACGTGCATTTGCTTGTAAGAAATATTCACGCCTGTGCGTCCTTTCTTCACATAGCACTTGTTTCCAATGTTATTGTTACAAGTAGTTATCATCGCCAATTAATTCTGACTTTAATTGTCATAAATTTTAAAATAAAACACAAATCAAATTAATAATTTTTTTCTGTGATATAATTTTTTTTAATTTCTTGTAAATTGAGGGGGGTTCAAGCATTACGTAATTATTCTGGGGGAGTTCTAGCGAACGTTATGGGTGCGTTACTTTGGGGGAGAGGGTATTCAAAATACTCTAAATTTGCGTTGCGTAAGTTATGGACGCCCCCTTAGTCCCATACGTGTAGTGCATGTTTTATTGCGGGAGATGGCGGTGAATTTCCGCTGCTGGATGGCGAGATGCGGAGTAAACATGATGGGATTTTCCTCTGCCAAGCATCTCCCCCCAGCGTGACCGCCCCAACTCTACGCTCCCTACTGGTCTCCCGGCAGTGCAGTGAATGATAGTATAAGTGTGTGTAAGTAAGGGGCGAGGATAGCGTAAGGAAGAGGAAGGATTGCACGCGGTCCATGGCCCGTTTGTTACGGGACTGCTCTGCTCGGCGTTTATCGGAGAAACCACGGAAAACTATCGATCAGAGAACCGAACATCGATGAGAGTAGCCGGCCGGTAGAATTCTCCTCTAGACAGCAAATAAGCTCGGCCTAACTATTTAGCTAATATCAAAAGTCTTGCCACCGTCGGGTCTCGAAGCAACAATCTCCCGGTCAGAGGTACTGCAGTGACATCAGTTGATACACCGAGCCCGAAAGAGTCTTTCAAAGCCAATAACAATTATTGAAAATCCCTGTTATATTGGGTGAGTCATTTCATGCGGTAATAAACACACCAGCGTAAAGAACCGTAGCTGACCGGGAGACGCGTGGCTGACCACGTTCAAAACATCCTCATTATACGCAATATTCCTGCAGTCCATTATGCGACCTTCTTCAAGACGAAATCCAAACCGTTGGCAACTGTGCCTAGGACGCGGCGTCTCGGGCAGTCAAGAATCTAATGATTTCGTCCATAGAAGCCACTGCAGAGCGTTCCTTGTAAAATTATCCATAAATACTTCCTTTACCGTTTTTTCCTCAGTAGCTGATTCTCGTAGAAATGTTCACTTTTACGATTTCTTCGGAATCTGCCTGTAATAGAAATTATAGCGCATTTTCAAGACTCGACACTATGTTGATGAGAGGATATTAATGTAATTTGCAAATAACAAACACACTGCATTTCTAGTGACAGGCTGTCAGGCTGAATTTTTGATGCCCTAATGATGGCGCGATTGCAGTCACGCGGTCGATACTGACCTCTCGTAGACATTCAGAGGTCTGATCTACATGAGGTTTTACAATTTACGAACCCCGTTAGACGACGGTAGGGTCACCATCCAGCGGAGTAAGATCACCTCCGCCTCTCCAAGAAAAACATGAAGTACATTTACGGGAATGAAGACCTTAGCCATTGGCGCGCCCGGAGTCATCAACCAACCAGTCATCCCAAGGAGGAAGCGAGGGCGGGCACGGGGACTCACCGCGCGTGACGGGGCTGACTGTGAGCAGGCCTGAGAGCGCGGCGCCGGCGCTCACGCCGCCCGCCACGATGTGCTTAGGGTCTCCCCCGAAGAGGTGGATGTGCTGGCTCACCCACTTGAGCGCCCAGTGCAGGTCGTGCAGCGCCGCGTTGCCCGGCGCGTCCGCCTCGCTCGCCTGCAGGAAGCCCATCGGCCCCAGCCGGTACTGCACCGACACCAGCACCATGTCGCCGTGCTCCAGCAGGAAGTCGCCGTTCGCCATTTGCGACGAGCCCAACACGAACGCGCCGCCGTGGATGTAGAAGAACACGGGCGCCAGCTTTTCCGGATTAAGCTGGGAAAAGCGGAGAAAGAAAACCACGTGCAATTGGAAGTTTAACTTGTGATGCTGTATTAATATTCACATCAAAGTCTTATGAGCCCTTACAGTGTCCATTTACGTTCGTAAAAGGTATGTGAGAGAACATATAAAATATAGCTGAAAGTAGTACTACTCGTACGTGTACATTTGTCATAAATTTCGCGCAATCGGATCTTGAAATCGGCACAAAACTTTTTCAGTCTCCATAGTCGAGTGAACTTCGGTTATAATTTTTTTGAGCTCATTGCAACCCCCCCCCCCATCCCGCGGCCGATAAGGAAACCTATGCAAAACTAGTTATTTAAAGTGTTGCTCAAAAATTATTTTCTGAATGACTTGAGGGATATGCCGTGCTACTTTACCCTAACCAATGTCGTGCAACTTTACCATAATTGAATATTGAGATATTTATTTTATTTTAAAGAATATCATTATAACAATTCGAGAATATACTCCGCGCTATCTCTCGTATGTTGCACCGAGTCGTGCAGCCATTTTAAGGCTTGATGCCAAAATAAATGTGCCGGACTATGTTATAACTATTCACGACGAGTTTGGTTGTTGTCTGAAGCGATTGACTGCGGAAGAAGCTATAAAATAAGTATTTTTTCATAGCTCCTAGAGTAATGTTCGTCATTGCCAAAAATATTGAGGTACAATGAGACATTGTTCACCAGATGATAAGTGAGGAAGATTATCGAGCGTTCCAATTCGCATAATCGGAGTTGTCATATCAATCTGAAGAAAATGTGCTTGATTTTTCACATTGCATTCTAATTTACTTCTTTATTCATTTACAACCACTTGCAGTGATCGGTAGTTTTCCGTGGTTTCTTTGGTCAACAGAAGATGAATATCTAAAAGGCCACAGACTGTGACCGATTTTTCCTCTCTCATGTTTGTCCCATCGTCTCCCCACTTTGCTTTTACAAGCACTACATATCGCATATGAGGGAGATCAGTTGGGAGCATAGAACTTGTCCCGGCTGAGGAAGTGATCCGGTGGGGGAGATATCTTACGAAGAGAAACCCGGCAGATCGTCTGAAGGTTGGCTTTGAATCTAACGGTCGAGTGGAAGAGGAACCGCCACCTCCAAGGATATAACATGACAGGTAGTATGCGTAATATGTACAAGAAACAGCGTTATTATAGGTTAATATACTTTATAGGGCATATTTTAGTGCATATTTTTGAAGTTTTTACTACACAAATGAACATGTATGCACAAATGCTTACATATTCTCCGTCCCCTAGTATTTACATAAAGCAATTTCAAAATTCAACCTTGGCCTTACTATTTAACTTCCACACATATAATAGGTTCCCGCTTTAACTGAAACATCTGAAATTCCCCTCTTTTCCTCAAATTTAAATTAAAACGATAAATTTTAATATACAAATTTAAATGATTAAAAATTTTAAAATATAACAAAATTGACTGAATGAATTCACCATAAGGGTGTTAAAATAATTTGATATAATAAATATTTCAAATTGTAATCGTCTCTGAACGACAATGTATGTCGAAGAGAAAAAATAAATCTAAAAAAATTCTGATCTAGATGTAGTTCTACGATTTGAGTGTCATTATATTAATTTTATTAATCTTTAATACACAATTCCGTGTTTCTTCTTATTCATACGTTGAAAGTGAAATCTAATGCAGTTCCAAAGATAAAATTAATGTTCGAACCGAAAACTTTGAAAAATATAAAAATATTTCCTTTAGCGTAAATATCACAAAGATGTATACAATACATTTTATCTATATATTGGAAAAATAATCCAGAAAAATAAGGGTGTCCAGAAAAAACAAAAAATTGATTTCTCAGTAATTTTGTAATTTGAATTAAAGTCAAAACGAGTTGATACAAAACACAGACAATTTATATCTCGGCGAATTACGAGATTAGATGCGTGTGTGGAGCAAATGCAAAAACATCTGATTAATTTTCTGCGTGAGTATATACCAGTCACCTAAGCGTGTTTTTGATGAGAGGATTGCTAATGAAGTGTAATATAATCCAGAAAATATCTTCTCTTATCAGTCGGAGTCACAGAGGGATTCAGTACAAGAGATCTTTACGATGAATTAGGAAGTTCCACAAGATCGCCAAATATTAGTACTCTTATGTATTTATATCCACATTATGAATATGTTTATAGCGTTCTTCCATCATAATATTCCCTTATTTTCAAGATTATTTTTTTCTGGAGATTTACCATTCAATATTCGGGGTACGTAAAAGATGTATCCAAGTTTAATGAATGAAGTGTCTTGTGACCTGTGTTTTGTTTCTAAATTATCGTAGTGGTTAAAATAATTACATTGGTACTCCGTAGTAAATTATTTAACGATAGTAGGCATAAGCTTTACCTACATCTACTGCATGGTATTATATCTTAAGATTGTTAATAGAATGATCTGAAAATTCCTGTTAAAATGGTACACAAAGACTGGTAATAGACGATTAAATCAACTTGATAAGCTTTAGAAAATGCTGTCTGTGTAATAATTAGGATAGTGCTATTCTATGAAGCTGTTATTGCTTCTTGTTGCCAAATATTAACTATCAAGGATCCCGCACAATCAGTTTCCTAACCACTGGTTGAAACGAAGGTCATTTGCGAAGTTGGAGGCAAGCTTGGCAAGAAGAACGATGTCTCGCAAACGCATTTGATCCACAATATCTTAAACGATAACCCCAAGCACATTGAAAGAACGAGTGTTACAGAGGCCAAACACTAACAAGCCATTCATTTAATTACTACCATTATCTCTGTCACGATTTTGCACATTTTAAATATGTTTATTATATTGTGTAATACAACAAACGTCCTGTAAGATCTTCACATTACTGCAAATATCATAATTTATTAATAGGATTTATTTTTTTACTTTCATGTCAAGGAAAACACGAAACGATCATTATTATACTAGTCATTTATACACTAGTTTGTTTTGTCCTCGTTATTTGTTGACGAAATAATTTCATTTTCTCTCTCGTCACCAGTTGTTACTGATATCGTTCTTAATAATGACATATTAGTGATTAAATGTAATAATTCAAGAAATGTTAATATTGAATTCGATAGTACATTAGAAATGAAATGTGAAGAAAATAAAGTATGAAAGGTAATGAACCTTGAGTAACAAGTTTGGTTCTGAAGAGATCGTGATTTAATGAACGCCACGAATCACTGCATTTACCTTTGATCTATTAGTTAGTGAAGTCTAATCCTATTTTATGATTGTATTAAATACAACAAATTTTGAAGTTACCTGTAATGAGCTCTGTGATACACCATCATTTGTTTATGACGGTAGACTGAAAGTCCCCACGATTTTTATTCATTTGGTGAACTTCATCTTGCCGCTTAATAGAAAATTGCCTGAATTGCTAGTAGTATACACATTATACATTTTTAGTTTCTTTTGTTTTTCTTGACACTGTATAATATGTGCATTATTATCGATGAATGATGCTGCGAAGTCACGACAATTCTCATACCATGACATGCAGTTTCTTACATCTGAAAATCTGCATTTTCCCCCTTCAAACTGCCAGCACAACGCTTCATGTTTTTGCGAATTTCATTCGACCTCTCTTTATCCGAGATACCACGTCATCGATTAATTGTGTGATTTATTGATGCTTTCGAACACATCAACTGTTGTAGTCATTAACTTTGTTTGTAAAGTGCATGTTTTATCCCGGGAGGTCGCAGAAATCCCCCCCCCCCCACTGGATGGTGAAATCCAGCGCCAACCTTCATACCAAGAGCGGGCGGTCTGAAATATCCTACTCTAGGTATTTCCCCAGCAGTATACCGCCGAAACAAGCTCTAGGCTTCCGACTGGTCTTCCGAAATGTGTGGTAGTGTAGTACTTGTTAGAAACCACCGAAAATTACCGATCAGAGCACTCGAAAGTTAGAATTCTCCTCCACGCAGACGACTGAATTCGGCAATGGTAAACAGCTAGTGTCCAAAACACGAACCACACGGTCAGATTGCTGCAGAGGCATTCCACAACTTTCTACATTCTACAACCATTCTACAACTTATACAAAATAGAGTATTTTTTAGATTTTTTGAAGTAATTGTAAGTACTACATTAAACGACGAATGCAAAGGAGCCTTAGTTAGGCCAATGTTTATCACGTATCGCAATTTCATGTATTATTACATTTAATCATTAATTTGTCATTCTTGTTATAAACGAGATTCGCCATTCTTTTTTGTTTTCAAAGAAACCTATAGGTTATAGAACGAAAAACCTATTCACCGCCTGAGCTTTGGTCCCAACCCGCTGGGTCCAGTGTGTCTGTTTCCGCCTCCCAACTCACATTATGGGTGTAGATGTCGAGCGTGAGGCAATCCTCCTTGTCATCGTCGACGTCGTCGTCCCGCGCCGTCGCCCTGCCGGCCGCCGCCTTCTTGGCCGCCGCGGCGAAGGCGGTGGCTCCGGGGTAGAAGGAGTCCAGGGGCAGGAAGCCGGACAACGCCTCGGTGAGGTCGGGGCAGCCTCGCGCGGGGTTGCGCACGTCTCGCGCCCCGTTCCAGCGCGCGAATTCGGTCGGCGGCTGCAAGCCATGCGTCACGGATACTTAAGAACACTAACAATAATAATAATAATAATAATAATAATAATAATAATAATAATAATAATAATAATAATGTAACTGAAATGTTTTAAAACAATGGCAGTTTCAGTGATAACCTATGGTCACAGACAGTATTCAAGGATGGGGTGGCAACTGCTTCCCATGTTGGGACAAATTTAAGAAAAATAGACATTTCATTTCGCGTATCTTCAAATTTATTTTACAAAAGATTTCCTTTTTTCTGTATTTCGAGAAATAAATCACTATACAGTGTTTGTGAGTGTGCGTGGATATGTATGTGTGTGTGTGTAAGTGTGTGTGGACCCATCACTCACGGTTAAACCACTTCCCGTGCACCAATCAAAATGTATTAGGTGTCATTTGAAGCGTCTCTCTCTCCTTGTGGGGAACTGATAACACGGACCTGCAAATTTAAATTTTCTGATCATTGCATAATGTTTAAGTAGTTACGAATGTTTAAGTAGTTACTTTTATATTTAAGTCAGAAAGAACTGAAGTCAGCTTTTCTCTATCACATTAGATTTTTTGCAAAATCAAAATGAACATACAAGAAATATAACGCATATGCGATGGCGAGATTACAATAATTAAGTATAATATGTAAGGAATACTTCTTTCTTATTATTTTTATTCATTTAAACTAATATATGACACACTTGCATGAACATAACATAGAAATATTGAATATATTGCTTATACAGATTTGAAGATTAACATCCAAATGGACCAAATTCCTCCTAATGCGACCCTCCTTTTGCTTCTTTTAGCGTTGCCATCTTGCCAATGCATTTTGAGAATGCCATTGGAGGGAATTAAATCAACACCACCCAAATAGATCTATATGTAGGTTACATTGAATACGACAAATGAATACTGCGCGGAAGACTTTATTTAATTTGCATCCATATTAACATGTTATTTTAAAAAAAACATTTACAATAACATAGGAACAGTAGTATGTTGTAACTTATGGAAGTTTAATAACTTCAGGTAAATATGGAGAAAACCAAATTATGAGTAGTGCTACAGAAGGTCATCAATGCTACACATTGACGTTCTTACGTTCGACTTCTCATATTTACATTCTTAAGCGTGCAAATACCGATTTTTAAATGAATGTGAGTAACAACTTATTCTTATTAAAACGTAACTAACACCTTATTCACATAAACAAACAAATCAGTTGCCTTTTAATGTTTATATAAAATTGCCTACAAAACGATAAATAGAGCAATTGCAGAAGTGCAAGTGAACAGGAATAGACAGACTTTGTGAAGTTTTAATCTCTTCAAAAATTAGAGCACAAAAATAAGTTTGTGTTAAGCAAATCCGGGGAATAATAAAACGTAATTGTAAAAGATTTTGCGACATAATTTTCGGAATTAATTGAGAATGATCTTATTAGAGAATAACGCTGAGGAGCAGCTTACAGATTATTGTTTTTGTGCATATTTGTGAACTTAAGCAAAAAAATCGTAAGAGATTTCGCTATACTAAATTCTAACCAGTCAGCATCATTCGTACCTGCAAGTATTTTTATGGGGTTTATAATTTATAAATTGCAATATTATCAGTTTATATACCGTATGGAGATAACATACAAGGCCATTGGGAATAGAAATGTTTGAACAGGAGTAATACATTATTAGCTACTACGATTTTTTGGAATGACCAATGCTAGAGGCTGTAAGAACTTATTTGAACAAAGTTATGAATGAGATTAATTTTCAACACCTGAACATACTTTTAAAACAGTTTTCAGCGTCAGTGACGCCACATTCATCCTACATAGTATTTGAGTAACTGCAAGTATGCGTGTGTGCGGATCCGTCACTCACGCTTAGACCACTTCCCCTCCACCAATCGAGACATATAAGGTGTCATTCGATGCACCTTATTCGATGCACCACGGTCTCCTGGTGGGGAACTGTTGTTTTCAGATTCGTCCAGAAGAGTCTAAGAAAATTACAAAAACGTGGTTTTTTGTGGCAAACGTGTTAAATTTGACGAACTTCAAGTGAATACAGAAGAAAACAAACTGTGAATGATGCTACAAAATGAACGCACATTTAACTTATTACGTTCGACTTCTCAAGTTACGTTCTTAAGCGTGCAAATAGCGATTCAAATAGCAAAATTTTAAAAAAATGTGACGAACAACTTATCGAAACAATCGTGGGAAAATGCTCATCATTTTGTGTTTTAGGAAGAACTTTTGGTATTTTTTCAAGCCTGTTGAGGATTCTACGACGGTAAAATTTTTATGGAAGGATTGCGGATTGTTGAAATTGAGACGATTTGCCGTAGAAAGCAACAGTTTAATTTTTGCCCCGATAGATTTAAACTCTGTGTCGCCCCTCAGAAAGATAGCACTCTACTCGAGTGGCTACCGGAGTGGCATAATAATAATAATAATAATAATAATAATAATAATAATAATAATAATAATAATACATTGTGCTACAGGATGGCATTTGCATACTCATACTCGTTAGTTCCCTATCCTCTTCGGCGACAAGGACTTCCAGAGCCTCTCGCGGTACCTATCCCTCCTCTGAGGATGTAGAGTACCTGTACACACCCTGATCTCAAGTAGACCTACTTATGTACTGAACTTTTACATTCATTGCCACCGATATTAAATGGTCCGTCCTCGATTCATATCTTTGTTATGGGTGTGGGATCTTGTTCCTCAATTAAATACACAGATTGTACAATGGTCTGTCAGGCCAAGAGAGGTCAGTTTTTGCTTTATTTATAGATTTGATCAAGTTATTATCTTTCAAAGCGTTTACCATTAGTTCAGTCAAGTGTAGGACTCGTGAGTCAGAGGTTCGGAGAAGATGAAACGAATTACGTGAACACGAAGGCTGTACGTTTGAAACATGTGAGTGTTTTCAGTGGTATTGGAGGCGTGGGGTATACTGAATCCCTCGTACATTACATATATGCCGCAATCCTTACATAATCTTTTGATCTGTCAGGCCATTGTGTTTTTATAGTGGAATTAGATTTATACATCGACAACAATGATATATGCACCCAGATGGGAACAAGGAATACCATGGGCAAATAAATATGTATGTAAATGGATGTGACTGATCTACGAGATGTTTAGGGAGCGCGAAGAATCTCATATCTGCGAATGTACAATGAGGGACAGAAGGTACCGCGGGGGGCGCTGGTAGGTCTCCCACACGCCACTAGATAGGGATTGAGCAAAAACCGAAAAGCTAGCCCAGACTTTAGAGAGAAAAAAACTATTGCGAGAACATCTATACCGTTGTGTAGCCCCACTAATTTGGTTTTGTGTTTCCTAGTCACTTTTACGGCCATCTTAACTACAAAATTCCTGTTCGGGGCAGGTGGGTACTTTTCAATTGCGGTTGGTTGACACAGTGTCAATAACTCAGACCCATCTTTTGGCAACCATCTCCACAAAATAAAATAATGTTTGATATTTGTATTCATACCTAGGCTAAATAATGTAGTGGCCTCATCTAAGTACATTTTGTGATGTTCTTAATTCTTGGACTACAGTACTTAATTCGTTATGTGAACTCCATGCAGGATTAGCATAGCTCTTTCAGAGTAGATCCCTTGCCTCAAAATTTTTGTTCTAATTTTTACTTTTACGTATACGTATGAATATACAGAATAATATACGTAGTATAGGGAAAGTTATGTAATGCTGCTGAAAATCGATTTCAAGATTTCAACGGAAATACACGTTTTCGGGTCCCCTAATACCCAAAACGTTTTTTCAACACGTCCGCCCGTCCATCCGTCTCTCTGTCCGTCTGCGTGTCTGGTGTATGTGAACAACACTACCTCCTAAACCATGCGTAGATGTTTTCCCAGTTGAAAAAAACACCTATTTGGCCTGGGTCGAAGCTCTGCGATTTCGAAAATCATTAATTACTTTTTGGTGGTACTTTACATCACGCCCATGATTTCAAAATTTTCTCAAAAATGGCTCCAAATTTTTTCTTCAAATTACATGTAAGAAAAGAGTAAATTGCACTAATAAAGGGGGCATAGGTCCGATTTTCACAGTTAAGTCTGAATTTTTCGAAAATTTCAAAAGTTTTTTTCGGAATCTTCTTACAACTAAAAAATTAAAGACGGAGAATTTTTCTTTCAATAAAGTTTGCATGATTTGTACTTTCATTAAGGTCATGTACATTTTTTCAATTGTAAATTGCAATGCAATGTGCAATTTTATAACATTAGAAAAACAAGATTTCCTCAAAAATGGCTCCAAATACTTTCTCTAAATGTTTGATAGGAATTGCGCTAAATGCACTCTATGAGATGCCATAAACGTCATCTATTCTTTTCTTCTTCTCTATTCTTTTGTGCTTTCAAAAGTTACAAAAATGTTTTTTTATTTGTTTCTCACGTCGTTAATATTTAAATTAGCGGCAATTTGTTCACTTTATTCCATTTATGAGTACAAGCGCTTTAAATAATGCCATAAAAAGCTTCTCGAAAAAAACTGTTTTTGGTCAAAACTAACCCAAAATTTCTCACTTTCAGAAATGTTCTAACGGCAATTTATGAAAAACGATTGTTTTTCTTTTCAAACTTTTCTAAAGGATATTGCTAATTGCACTCTTTAATATGAGATAAAGTGCATTTCGGGGTATTTTTTGTTTTTTCAAAACCTATACAAATGTAATTTCTATGAAAGATCTCTCACGCCGTTATTATGCATATTTCCAGCAATTTGTAACACTATTGTATTTGTGAGTTAAAGTGATTCAAATTACTTTTAATGCGGTTTTCCGAAAACTCAAAAATTTTCTGTGAAAAGAACTTCAATTTTTTCATAGAAAATTGCCACTTGTAACGTGCTTTCATTGTTCTTCAGTATTCCGATAATGATATTTCCATTCTACTATTAGGAAACCGAAAATTAAGAAAATTTCAAAATAATTTACTTTGG